CTTAAGGGAGAGGGGGGAAGGGGGATCGTGAAGGGGAGGAGGGGGGGAGGGTATTGATTGGGAAAGGAGCGAGATCTTGCTTGGAGGTTGGAGTTCCAGGTAATATTTTGGCTCTTTTCCAGTCAATAATTCCAGTCTCCTGTTGCCTGTACCAACTGCCTGAAACAGCTTCCTCGGTCCCTCTTCCCCAAGAGTCTCCAGTTATGCCCGTAGCCGGCAATTTAAATTGTAATTGAAGTAGTAATTTTAAATCAATGTACAGTCAATAAGAGGCTTCGTTCTTCGTAACTCTTGCACCACTTAAATTAGCCGAGCCGAGTTTTAGCTTTTTTTGTTTTTTTTCCGCCAATTGCTTTTGCATGTTTAAGTCCCCTTCCGTCAAGTCTCAATAAGCAAAATCCCTCTACTTTTTTACTAATTTATTTTTTTCATCACTCGAATTGCTTATTTTGCAGTTGGCATTTGCATGTAGAAAGACTGCCGGTTGACGCAAATTTCACAGCATTATCGATTTTCTCAAAATATCGAGCCGGAATGACCTCTTCAGTATCGCTGTGTTGAAAGCAATGACATACAGATGCAAAACGTGGTCACTGGCGAAAGTAGAAGAGCGACTGCTAGCTGTGGCGGAGAGCAACGGATTGAAGTGTTTTTTTTTTTTTTTTGGCTTTTATAACAAGTATTCATACCCTCTTTCAGATGAGCGTTTTGAACCATATTTTTGAAATTAAATAAGCGAAATCCGGCAGGTATGTTGCTTGCTGTACTGAGGTGACGTGCGAGAAAGCAAACGACCGCTCTGGACTCCTCAGAGATGTGACGCACATACATCGAACAGGCGATGGGTACTAACTGGAGGTGTGGAGTTCAGGATCGAAGGACCTGGCACAACTACGCCGGACGTTTGAGAGCATCACAGTAACATCAACGACAACGGATGCTAATATCTGCTGTACAGACAGTCGTGGTGTATCTGATATTTTTATATTTTTTGTCGCTTATTTTTTTTTCTTATTTTTTCTTAATTACTCAAGAAATTACTTATCTCTTTTTGCAATTTCTTCGTGCATTTTGCTGTGCAGCAGCGGTTCATAAGTGACAAAAAATATAAAAATATGATTAAAAACTACGTGTGAGCTTGGGCTGGAAATATTCTAATTCAAGAGTGAGAGAAAATAGAAAGCTGAAATTTTAGGGGGATGCATTAGGAGTTCTGGAAATTCGAATTTATTGTCTCAAAGTGCTTACTTCCCAAGCATCGAAATGTAAATAATTGGGTATGAAATTTTTTAATTTATGGACCAAAGAAGATAAATGAAATTTTAGGAGCATATTTCCTGTCAAAATGTATCATCAAAAATTTAAATTTGGCTGTCAAGTAAAACTGTGTGATACGTATGGATACGTGATGATCCGTGTTAGAAGTTGTTGGTGTCTTCCTAACTTCGTCTGGCAAAAAAACTGCGCAAAGCGCATAGTCTTAATGGCAGCTCGTTGCGGAGCGACACATTTATTGTCATTTTAATAGTTTATCATTACGAGCTGCATATTTAAGGGGAAAACTATGAAATGCAGTTAATCAAAAAATATTACTCGTTTTAGTATTACCTATTTTATTTTGGAGATATCGTATTTCGTGCACCAAAAGATCTTTTTTTTCTTTTTTTTTTGGGTTGATGACCATTGTTTCGGTCAGCAAATGTGTCCGCATCGATGCCCAGAGCGAATTGACTCTCTGAATACGATGAAATTGATTACACGCGCACAGTCCTGCTTTTTCCTCCGTGTGAGGGCGATTCGAGGAAAATCGCATAGTTGACTGCTCGAGTTTATTCCCTTCCGTCCAGCTTCTCTGGAGGGAGTTGCGAGCTGTTGGATCAGCTGGTTTTTATAGCAGCTTTTCCAGTTATTTTGACCACTGGTCAGCCGGTGGTCAGCCTGCCGGCATTTTTAGCATTCTGCTCTTCGTCCCAGTCATTATTTAGTGATGCGTACCATGCTTCTTTTTGTATCTCGTTTCCTTATCCGTAAAAATCGGTTTTTCGAACATCCCACCACGGTGCACAGCAGCGTGGAAAACAGCTCCGTTGCATTTTCCCCAGGATTTGGAGAATTTTTTGCCAAAACTGGTATAATTTGTGGTTTGTTTGGTCGCCCAGCTCATCTACATTGCGGAAAAAGTATTCTTAGTTAACCAAGTAGTATTGGTGCCAAATTGCTGAGTAAGGGCACCGGGAAAAATTTATTGATTTTTCATTTTTTCAGAGAAACTCCCCGATTCATCGAATATTTTTAATGTATTGTGTGATTGTTTCTTTCACAGCGCTTGTTTTTTTTTTTTCTTTTCGACCTGTTAGTTTCGTCCCTTTCACTTTTTTTGATAATTGCATCATATTTTTTTGTAAAGCACTGGGTTTTCTACTGTATTTTCTGAATTTATTCTCAACACAGTTTATACACATTTATTTTCCATTAATTTTTACACATCACAACCGTCGTACTGACGAGATCCAGTTTTGGTACTGATTTGGAATGTATATGACTCAATGGACCGAAACATTTCTGTTTATCTGATTATTTTTGTTTTTTTTTTCTCAATGAATTTTTTTTTTTTACATTTCACTTATCAATGAATTAATTTGCATTTTTTCCCCAATGGATTGTTTTTTTTTAACATTTTTTTTTGTTTATCATTTTTTAATTTATTTTTTAATATTTTATTGCATGTAATTTTTGTATTCTATCAAATATGCATGTGATATTGCACATTGTAATATGTGTTTTGTTTTTCTGTAGTCCTCGTACGTGTGGTACCAAACACAAGCCGCACATGCACGCACACACACACACACACATGCACACCGGCACACACGCATATACATATATACGTGTATATACATATGTATATATATGTATGTATATATGTACGTGTATACGCATGTATGTATGTACATATATATACATATATACAAACCGGCAAGCATATGCACAACACATAAAATTCACATGCATGGGCAAGTTATAGGTGTATGTATGTACGAGGAATGTACACTACGCGATACACACCTATCAAAAAAAAATACTAATTTTGGAAGAGGAGTCACGGTGATGAGGGGAGTGTACAGGACGTACACCCAAATAGCACAGACTTATCTCAATAAGCACTGGTATGGAATAGCACCCACCTGTATTTGGAGTGTGCACTTGCACAGTACATACCTATCAATAAACACAGATGTCCAAACATGATACCCAAAACATTTGGGTAGTGATACCCAAAAGTCTGGGTAAGTAACACCACGTGTCCACAACTTCACCCCGTACTCCGATGTGGGTAAAATATTTGCGCCTCTTCTCGTGAAATTCGAATTTGATTGACCAATGCATAGCATGTTTAGTGGGTGTGTGTTTGTCCATCAACCCACCCCTCCCTCTGCCAGTGTTTATTGATAGGTATGTACTATGCAAGTGCACACCCCAACACATACAGGTCGATGTTATTCCATACTAGTGCTTATTGAGATAAGTGTGTGTGCCATGTGGGTGTGCATCCTGCACACCCTCCTCATCTCAATTGGCTCCTCTTTCAATATATCGGTGTTTTTATTGTGATAGGTGTGTGTCGTGTAGTGTACATTCCTCGCACATACATACCCACACCTACAACTTGCGCATGCATGTGGATTTTATGTGTGTGTTGTGCATATGGTTGCCGCTTCGAAATATATATATATGCGTGTCTGCCGGTGTGCATGTACGTGTGTGTGTGTGCATGTGCGGCTTGTGTTTCTGGATGGGCGGAGGTGTGTGTGTGTGTATGCGACCACCATAAAATGAGCGAAGAACCGGTGCGCTTGTGCTGCTGCTGTTGCTGCTGGCTGTTGTGGTGAGGGAGGAAGGAGAGGAGGCGACGGTGCATTGATTCCTCGCCACCCCCCTCCCGCCGGACAACCATCTCATTATTTTTCTTTCCGATTGAACTGACCCCCCCTCCCGCCTTACCCCCCGCCTGCTTTAAGTGCAAGCCGGTAAAAATCGGGGACTACGCTCATCCCACGTGAGGGAGGGGAGGGGGTCTTGTCCGCTTAAAACGTCAGCATTGTCCATAAGTGCAGTTTTTACACGTTTGTTTGCACCTATGCAATTTGCAGCTGCGCATATTTCCGATGGGTTGTGTGTGTGTGTGTGTGTCTGTGTGTTCGTCTGTACCGATTTTTCTTTTTTTGTGGGCCGTGGACCCCCCCGGCAAGCTTCTTGACCATTCATGAGCCCATCTATGTGTACATATATACATGTACATATACATGTATACATATGTATGTATACATATATATACATATATGAAGTGCAAAGATAGAGATGTTAAGCTTAGGCAAAATTGCAAAAGTTGTTTTTCTATGGAAGCTATATGTCTAGCGAATTTTCCAAACTAGTCATCATCATCTGGGACAATCTGTTGATGTTTATGGATGTATGATCACTCCCCCTGCCCCTCCCCCCTTGCTGACTTAACCATGTGCTTGCGGTCACTTCTGAGCCTGTGATAACATTGTGAGTTTAAGAAATCAAAGTTTTTGCGATTTTCGCTGCTTCGTTGCG